TGGAGGACCCGGAGAAAAATCCACATGACCACAGGGGGAACATTCAAACTCCTGTGAACCAGGCGAGGTATTTAACATCTCGCCACCATGGCGCCATGCTGTGGCATGATGGTCATGCTTATAACCTAACCTAAATACTGCTTGATCCAGCTGTAATAGGCAACTCAAAAAATAAATCAATGCTTTCAAGCTATATTAAGTATAATAAAAAAAAATGCAACTATGTCTATCAGCAGATAAATTGGTTGACCGAGCAGATGGGCAGACGGAAGTGCTGCATGTAGCGACGAATTACCGCCAACTGTTTGGTATGCACAGCCGAAGGCCACCACTTAGTCACACATCACGAGGTACCCCAGCAGGGAACCATTTTCAAGATGAGAAAAATGTTATAAAAAAACTTCTGTATTTCACAGTACAATACAAATTATATACAGTTGTTCATCCATTATCCGGCGGCTTCAGGGGGGAAGGGGGTGTCGGATTTTCAAAAACGCCGGATAATCACATCATGACTTAAAATATCTTATTTTTGCACATTCTTGTATAACATGTTTTTAGGTGTTGTATACATGTTTTTGTGTTTACTGTATGAAATTCGCATGAATCAACATAAAAATAGACAAAGATAAATATCCTCCTGTAAAAAGTTACAGTACCGTACTTACCACTCCAATGTTTTATCAACATGTGTTTGACGATTTAAAGCTTTCGTGACTGCGGGGATTCATATTCTTGGTTCTTTCTATCGGAAAAACAGCATCCTAGGACGCTGTCTTTCCGACAGCTCTGTTTCTTCACCTGAGGACGGCTGCTTGCGTTGTGGCCGAAACGTCGTGAGAATTTTATTTTATTATGTTTTATTTTTATTAGTTTATTATTTCCCTTCTATGTGACTTTACCGAAAGAACCAAGAATATGTGTTTGACGATCGCTGGACTGATGCATCCTTTAGACCAGTGCATCGGAGAATGCGGAATTACACGCACTTTTCGCTGGATCGCAGTGAATATTTTCTCTTTTTATTACTGTAGGTATTAGTCATGAAAAATGTATATACATGCAGTATCTTCATTGTTTAAGTTCTATGTAGTGTATAATGTACTGTATATCATATTTGACACTGAAATCAAGCACAGCTACTCTTCTTTTGCCACTCGCCGGACTGGTACAGCCTTCAGAGTGGTTTTTACGTTTTTTCCAAATAGGCTCTGGACCACCGGATAATGTTGGAAGCCGGATAACCGCCTGCCGAATAATCGATAATCAACTCTATTGTGATATGTTTAAAAAAATTATAACTGCCACGTGAAACAGCACTAAAATAAATCCAATACTACTTCAAAAAATTAAATGTCAATTGGGAATGGAGAAATAAACGAAGAATAAAATTGTAATGGCCATTGAAGCATTACAGTTTACCTTCACATTGCAAAAGCTTTTGATGTAGTATCATTTGTATTCATGATTTGTGGTTACTTAGACTTACAAAATACGACGAATAAATGGATGTGCAAATACGCGTTAATCTCACATTCCATAAGTGTACTAATATTATGATTCTCAATTTTATATCATTATATTCCCACTGATCCGTAGCATGAATGCTCAAGAGAAATGGAATATAAATGCAGAACTTATGGTTTGATGGCACTCAATTAAATTATTCTCATCATCTAATGTTAGGCAATCTTATGTTACAGAAAATATATTTAAAATTAGTTTTGCTCGTAACGTAACATTAATGAAGGCGATACTACCCAGAAAAATATGGGCATGCTAAGGCAAAATTGGGAAATTACTCTATGGCCATCAGGGATGTCTAGCAGTTCACAGACGTCTACTGGACATCTGTGAACTACTGGACATCATCTGTGAACTAGAGCTTCATAGTTTCTGATTCTGCAGATGAGAAACAAAACATCATTGTGTTTTGGGGTGCTCTGGCTTACTATGTCATATCTCATGTGGAAGATATGTGGCATACACTTATACGATCTACAGCTCTGATGGGTTGGTTGTCATTGTATGCATATGCATGACCACCTGTACACAGGCCTACACACAATTATGTTGTGTAAATAAATATGCTCGTGTATAATCACGTTGTCTGCCAAATACGTATGCCCTGCATTACTCATATCATTAATAAAAGACATAAGTCAAGTAAGTCCTTAACATCATGGATGTGCTTTACTGAGTGAGTTCATCTTTCGATTTAAAGCTTTCGTGACTGCAGGGATTCATCTTCTTGGTTCTTTCGGTAAAGTCCCGTAGAATGGAAATAATAAAATAACAAAAATAAAACATAATAAAATTCTCAAGACGTTTCGGCCACAACGCAAGCAGCGAAACGTCGTGAGAATTATTTTATAATAAGAGGGCAGATTTTCCTGATGTTGAATATACAAAAGGGGCAGATGCGATTGGTAGTGGACATATGGGGAGAAAAAGTGAGGGAAGAGTCAAAGGTGACACCGCGGTTGATGGCAGAGGAAACAGAGGTGAGGGAGAAAAGGAGAGGAGATGGTGGAAACGGGAGGGGGGGGGAGCAAGAGGCTGTAAAGAAAATGATGGATGTTTTCGAAGGATTGAGAGAGAGAAAGTGAAGTTCCATCCATTATTCGCTGGCAACCAGACAGGAGAAAATGCGAGACGTACGGTCAGGGGTAAAAGAAGGAAAGGGGAGAAGAAGATTTGGGTCTCGGCAAGGAAATATTGAGGAAAACAGAACAAGTAGATAATAGATTCAGTGAGGGACCCAGATCTGACCATCTGCGGAACACCGACACTAAGCTGGGGCATGGGGGGGGGGGGATGTAGTGATTGAAGGAGACTGAAGATGTGTGAGAAGATGAGGTTTAAGCAAGGAGAGCGAAGTGCTGGAGCTGTCGAGGTCGGAGAGCGTGGAAAGCAGAGTGGGGTGATCAAAAGTGTCAAAAAGTGAAGGAAAGGTCAAAGAAGAATGAGAAGAAGGGCAGAAAGACCGGCATGGAAGGAATTGGCCAGATGGTTCTGGCTGGTTCGGTGGAATGAAGTGGACAAAGACCAAATAAAAATTGGGGCTAAAGGGAATGCGAAGAAATGTGGCGTGCGAGCTGATTATGAACAAGGCGTTCCAAAAATGTATAAAACAAAGAAGATCAATTGGACGGTAATTGCCAGGAATGGTGTATGCTAAACTTCTTCTGCACCATACATAGCCAGACGTGTTAATCGGAGGCGAGGGTGAAGGACAGCTCGACACAAATGAAGATGTTGGGGTGAAGGCAGAGGAGGACCAGTGACGAAGAGAGAGTCAAGGAACGGGCATGAGAGAGAGAGAGAGAGCAGAAGGGGTAGACAGAATGTATGACCGAATGAGCAAAACGTTGGAGAAGAAATAGTGGGAGAAAGAAGGCCAGAGCAGAAGAGCATGTGGAAGAGAGTAATGTGTAGGAAGAGGGATGGAGCCAATTGTTTATGGTGGAAAAGAGTGGATGAGGGTGGGGGGCGGCAAGGGAAGTGATGAGGGATATTAAATATGTCTGTTTTGCATGTTCGTGATCTGAAATACATTTAGAAAGAGAAAGGCAATATCTATATATTCACTATGCACAGACCTCTTGTCTGAAGATTCACAGGTGGCAGAGAAAGCTCGATAACAGGAAGCAATATGGATGGATTATTGCCAACGGATGTTAAAACGCCAGATGAAACACTACCTTTAAACATACATGAAGGCTCCTTGAGACTATTGTTTTGGTCTGACTATACAGTGATGAGACATACTTAGTACTTATGCTCTACATGTAAAACAGCTCAATATAACTCAAAGTACAACATTTATCTAAGTCACAGAAGTTAGTCGGGTTAAACGATAACAAATATACTGGACAGCATTTTCACAATCAATGGCCAGTTCCAAGAATCAGGAACTGGTAATAATTTCCAAAGGAATATTAGTAATGAATGCACTGGTTGGCATGCGCAAACATATAAATGGTGCGACAGCCGAAGTCACTATATGGTAGGTTTGCATTTGTTTAATCAGTTAAAAGGTATTCTAGAATATGTCGTGCCTTTTATCACTGGGGACTGAATATTAAAATCAGCACCGCTTTCCTCTGAGTTTACTGGTGATCCAGGCAAAGGCACAACGTTTCTGCTTGAGGAATTAAAGGTGGTTTAATCAAGGTGGTTTGAGAGGTTTAAACAACGCAGCAACCTGCACAACATTAGAACGATGGGTGAGGCGGTGAGTGCAGACACAGTGGCAGCCGACAATTTTTCAGACTACAGATGAGTGTTAACCTGACCTTTTCTCTGCTGATAACTAGAGTTAATCACGACAGTGTTATTATTCGTTTTCCCATTAATTGTGATGGGAAATTTCATCTAAACCTAAACCGCCCCTATTTACATTGATTATGTAAAATGTATTTTCTTAATGTTATTTTGCTACAAGTCGTAATTTCTAGGAACGCAACCCCGATGTTAATCGAGGACTGCCTGTATTTAGCCAACTCATCCACGTGGATAAGATTGCATGGAAGATGGATGTGGGCGTAGCCACGTTTTACCCCACCACACGTATCCTGTGCATTGACTAACTGGGGAGATTGAATAAACTTGCACTATTGCTTCAACTGTCATGCCAGAAGATGGAATTAATCCGGTGGCCTCTGGATTGCAAGTCCAACGTGCCAACTATTCCACCACAGCGGCTCCCTTTATTTCTCAATAAAAATGGCAAAACTGGTACGCTTATTGCTGGACATTTCTATTTGTGTTTTTTTTCCCATACAGTGACCGGTAATGCACAGATTACCTCATCCCCCACCCAAAACACATTTAAAAGTAAATTTTTTTCCAACTTGCTAAACCAACATGCTGGCTACACAATCACATTATTCAAACTTTATTAGCAATGAATCCTGGCATATTGTATTTCACTCAACAATTGGTGTGGAAGCTTTAATTAAACAAGAGTAAATAATTGTGCAGAAAGGGAAACTCACCACCACCAAAGGTACGGTCACCCTGGTTCATGTCTCCAGGCCTGTTGTCCCTCCTGGGAAAGACACGGCTGAACGAGCCCTGAGCTGGTACACACACAAACACACAAAAAATATTATTATATACATTGCATTAACGGTGTTACCTTATAACCCTCTTCTTTGTCCTGGCGGAAAATTCCTGCACGGTTCAAATTTCCAGTGCATGACTTTCCTTCTTTTACCTGAACCGTGTGCTCAACTAGCAAGAAGAGCGTACGCTTATATTAGCACAATTATTGTCACCGAGCCAATCAGCGCCTGCCTCCATCCGCCAGTCTTGAACGTTTGCCGTGGAACGTGCATTAATTACTCTTACGCGAGCTCCAAATGAATGCACAGGTGGAGTACGTAACTTATTGTATTTTTATATGTCATTATCATTAAAAATTATTGTTTTGATTCATGTGTAAAGTATCATTATTAAGGCTATTACTGATACCCCAATGAAGCACTCGTATTTTTCTCATGTTAACAAAAAATTAGTAGTCAGTAAGGCATGTTAATTGGAACCATGTTTAAATGACCTTCTTTAGCGCTGTTTCATATCGCGCTCCATTTACCAAGAGCGCATTCCCAGTGCTGTAAGAGGTATGCCTTGATAGTGTGGTATAAACAAAGCCAAAGACACACAATACAATTGCATATACACTAAATGAAGTTCACTACACAGGTACATAGACACAGGCAGACCTCACGTAGCACAAACTCATAGAACGTTGATTCGTAATAGCACTCTGTCCTGGAGAAAAGGTTTGCTAAAAAAAATTAAGAAAAAAATGTACAAGGTGCTGAGGAATGAAAACAAGCAGAACTGGCCGAGGAAATTCACCCACCACCATCATTTGCTCTGCTCATGAGAGTAACTTGCATCTCAGCCAACCAGACCCGACCCCTCGCGATTAGATTATCACGATTTGTGCTCACGATTTTTTGTTTTTTAAAGCCTCGATTCGTTTAGCCAGCTGAGAACTCACGAGGCCAGAATAGTCTCAGGCTCCACCTAAAAGAAACCTCACCACAGAAATTTAGGCTAAGGGTATCACTAAGATTACTAAGTTCCTTAAGTTCTTCTCTGAGTATGAACCGGATTGAAAGCTCAGCAGCTCCAACGTTCTTTCCCACTGCTGCCTTGTAGCTCATCTTATTTTAATTTATTTCACACCTTGACCAAGGCGTTGAACAAATAATGTACTATTTGTAGAGCAAAATAGTGTGATGAGATGAGTTGATGAGAAAGATGGTAGTACATGAATATGATGTATGAAATAAACGGTTATGAAAGTGACAATGAGTGAGTAATGTTGAGTGAGTATGATGAATGGGTAGTGAAATTTATCAGGCTCTCATAGGTCCATCGTTCTTTCTCTCCCCCTGCCGCCACGGGGTGGATTTCCACACATGCTAATTTATCTGCTCCAGCAGACCTACCTTTCTCTCTGCCCACCCCTCTCTCTCTCTATTTAAGGCCACGACACAGAGGCATTGGGTCTCTGTGTGTCTATGTTGTGTCTATCTCTGTGTGTCTCTGTGTTGTCTCTCTCTGCTTGTGTGTCTGTCTGTGTGTCTCCGTGTTTGTGTTTTGTCTCTCAAATTTAGTTCCACCTGATGACGACTGCTTGTGTTGCAATCAAAACTTTACCGAAAGAACCAAAGAGTAATTCCTGCAGTCAGGAAAGCTTCAAATCAAGGTAGAATGACTCCTTTTAGCATCAATTCGATTAGTGCTCACTTCTCCAGCAATGCATTTTGAGCGTGAAGAGAGGTCTGCCTGTATACAGACGCCTGCACAATAAATCAACCACCATTTAAGAGCTTGTAAACTATAATATCGCAACTTAAAGCTTTCGTGACTGCTGGAATTTATATTCTTTGGGTCTTTCGGTAAAGCCACGTAGATAGAGAAACAAGAAAAAAAATTTGTATTATTATTTTTCATTATTTTTCTATCTACGTGGCTTTACCGAAATACCCAAAGAATATAATATCGCACTTTGTCGGTACATATATATACTTGGGTTGCTGAACAGTTATCATAAACCAATAATTGTACTCGACTGTCATAGAATAGATAATCGAATGCAGTGCAATTTTAGTCATTACATCCCTGGCATGCTCGTTTAAAGCGTTCATTTAGTTACTGGACTGTATGTTCTGACAGACACATACAAACACACATACAGGACTGCGCATTTAATTATAGTATTGAACGACATTTTGACCATTGTCATTATCTGCCATTATCAATCCACTGCTGGATGAAGGTTTTCCCAAGCTACAACATCTACATCTCTTACAATCCTGCTATGTAATTATAGGACGTGTAATAACACCTGCCATGAGCCTGATTTAATTGCTCCATCTCCATAGTGGGCATCCTCTAGGCAGTGCTGGATTATCCTAGTAGCAAAAGTAGCATATGCTACGGGCCCCGCGCTAAATACTTTCAAGCGATCAACTCCGGTTCAGTGTTTCTGCACTTGCTTTATTACTATAGTACTATACTCAATGAAAAATGATAGGAGTTGTTAGTGAGTAAGGACTTGTCCCTTGCTTTTTAATAGACGCGTGTGCAGCGATGGCGCAGCCATTGATCGAGGGTCGAATTCGAACCGCGTTGTGTGATCGGCATCGCGCTCGCTGAAGGTGTTGATGCCTTCAGGGAAGTCGTGTACTGGATACGCAACTGCGCACAATTCTATGAGTCACTTATAACTGCTTTGCCGTTACTTATTGCCAATTATGGACTCTCATCTCATAGTCCCTGGCACGTAATAATATGCTACACAGTGGCAGTGGGGGTCGCAAAATGCCGATTTATTACTAATAAACCCCAATGACCCGATCGAAATTAGGGATTTCGATCGGATCATTGGGGGGGCACGTGCCACCCACCCCATGCCCACCCCCCCCCCCCCCCCCACTGGCTCCGCCAGTGACTATACTGCCTTCAACTTTTATGAACGACTGGGTGTTTAAGGTTAGCGATTTGTCGTATTATCTGGCTGTCTAGCAAATGAAAAATACCATTACTTTACTATGCAAGTTAAAAATAAGTACTCTTTGGGTCTTTTGGTAAAGTCACGTAGATAGAAAAATAATTTAAAAAATCACGACGTTTCGATCGCAACACAAGCAATCGTCTTCAGGTGAAAAAAAAACAGCAGGCGGACTGCTGAGGCAGGAAAAAATGTAACGGGAGAGCTACTGCAGCCAAAGGTTAGATAGGTTTGAGATGGGTACAACCCAAGGGTAAGTAGGTGGGACTAGAGATGGAATTTGCAAGTAAATGTAAGATCGCAGAGCTGGGCATACCTCCGCTAATCATGTCTGCATTAACCACAATACTTGTGGTCGTAATGCAAACAAAGATAAAGGAAATGTTATGTTTCACTGCATTGATGACAAGTCATAGCACATTATAGTATTGATTTGAAACTTTCGTGACTGCAGGAATCCATACTCTTTGGTTCTTTTGGTAAAGTAAAATCAATTTATATATAAAATAAAATAAATAACAATATAATCATATATAAAATAAAATAAATTTAGACCTACGTGATTTTACCGAAAGAACCAAAGAGTATTATAGTATTGCTTAAGGGATTATATGTTGTCGTAAATAATTGACAACTGTTATTTTGTCAAGCCAGAAACTGGTATTTAGACGTAAAATGTAAATTTTCTTTGGAAGTAAAATGTACTTAATTGACCACATTCAATGGATATTGTAATTATAATTATGGAAATATGTGCATGCTTGGTAGTTTGAATTCATGTATATTTTAGAAAAAATACATTTGAGTAATTCCAGATTAAATATATACTGGGGAGCTGTTGAAGTTCATCCATCAACACTGTAAGCTGCCTTAATGACGCCACTTTCTCACAGTCTGAGTAGTTACAGCAAGCACTGCGTGTGCACTCTTGTGATGACACCTTCAAAGGGTTTGGACAAATAATATTTACAGCTGTAGTACCCAATGCTATAATAGATCCAGTGATTTTACAAAATGATATCACATAAAATAAATACAACATTATACAGAAACATAGATGAAACAGGTTTCAAGGCAAGACAGCCATAGATGTTTTACCTTGATCATTTGCCATTTTGTCAGGTGATTCAGCTTATGGATTACAAAGGAAGAGAAAGAAAGAGACATACATGACTATTAGGCACATCATCACAACGGAGTGTAATGCAGGAGGCATTTCATAAAAAAAATAGCAGGACATGCCTATTGCTGCATCACTATAATATTCTCATATTCATTGCTACACTGCTGATGGGAATACATGTGCAATTATAGAACAATTTTTCAATGCCAGGATCTTGTAAGCTGGTATTTGAGGTCAGCCGCACGGACTACCCAAATAATTAACTAATTCATAAAGTCACATTCATAATTCTAGATTTGAAGCTTTCGTGACTGCAATGATTCATATTCTTAGGTTTTTTTTCGGTAAAGTCACGTAGGTAAAACATTAAAATAGCTCTTGCAATCTCTCATTTACTTGATACAGCTGTCGTGGCTGTGACGGTTCCACCTGAAGACGGAAGCTTGTGTTGCCTCCGAAACGTCGTGATTTTTATTTCATTTTACTTTTATTAATTTTAATGTTTTACCTACGTGACTTCACATTCATAAATTAACAATAAAATTGACCGGAACACTGTTCAAACACTATATATGCTGCATGCAGTAGGACGGTGTGTGTGTGTATGTGTATTAACAATTCTAAAGCATGTGTTTCACTGTTGTAGGGAATTTGAACCCATGCACTTGAATGCCACGCTCATCCCACGTGCTCTTTTTAGAATTGTTTTTTAATATTTATTTACACGTAAAACAGGACCCTTCAAACAAGTGAAAACCTTTACCTTGGGTTTAAAAATAAACCATCTTCCTCTGCAAGTGACTCGGATTACACTCTATATAGTGCTTGTAATATTTTAAGTGTTATTTATTTGTAAATATGACATTGCAAATAATTCATTATTTGTTTTTAAGTATTGGTTAACATGCTATTATTACATGTAAATGTGGATAAACGTGAGTAATTATGCATTACTTTCAGTATGCAAGACATCCCCGTAACTGAAAATAATCTCACCCCCATAAGTTTGGCTTGAAGTGGTTTTCTGTATATAATGTGGTCAAAAGTTCAATGGATTTAAAATGGAAGACATGCCAATCACATGTTAAATCAAGGTCGAGCAAAGCAAATAATATACAGAATAAAAATCCACAACTTCAATTTACAAAAATAATGTTTTTTACAAAAAAATATAAATGTAAGATTTTTTAATATGATAGTTTAACATTAAGCTATGATTGGATTTGCTGTCATTTGTACGTGAAAAAAACACTGCATGCTCACAAAGTAATTGTCTATCTCCAAATTCAAAGTGGTGCTGGGTGATGCATGTCTCCTTTGGTGGTCCCGTGTTAGTGGTTGAAGAGCCACATTTCTACAACAGGAATAGGTCGTCCACAGAACACTCACTTTCTGATCACCCACAAAGTGATGCTCATATTATTGGCTCCAGAGGGTTGAATGGGTAACTCAACCAAAGATTTTTCGTTTGAACTCACGTAAAAATTGTGAAACATATTAAATGGATATTGTGGGATTGACAACCGAAATATCCAACTCGGAGGCAGCTACAATCTATCTTCTTCTTCTTCTTCTATATCTATATATATAAAAGTAAAAAATTGTGTGTGGGTTTGTGTGTGGTCGCGCGCTTGGCTCTCCAACGGTGCGGTTACGTGAAAAAAATAGCCAGGCGCCAAGCCGTAAGCCCCGCGGCCAGCAAGCGCTATTCCTTTTTCACATCCGTCAACTTTAAATTAGTTTAATTAGCGATTTAGTGCGATTTTTGTGCGCTTCCATTTTATTTATTTATGACGCGTGCACGACCATACTAACTCACGCGCCTTTGGTGGGGGGAACGGCCCATGGCAAGTCGCACGCCTTCGGTGGGAGTGAGGGGGACATTTTATTTCGCGTTAAAAATGCGATAAAAAATACACTAAACTCTGACTTAAATTCTTCACTGTGTGATGTCGCCCCCACCCCGATGCGTGCAGTTACTAATATATACAGTCGCTAGATGCTACCACTATAGGCCGTGGATATTACTGCAGAGTGGCCGTGGAGATCGTGGCTGGGGGGGGGGGGGGTCAGGGGTTGCAGCCCCAGCCTGCCAAGGTGCCACCTCGGCTGGCTGGACAATCTAGGCGAGGCCTGAGGCTCTGCACGGGACTAGGCCTCACCACGCCACTCTGTCAGGTGAGTACTTTGTGATATACAGTCGATAAATACTGATATAGAGTCAGCATGTACTACTGTCGTGATAGCAGGTACCACCGCAGTCGGTATGCACTGCTGTAATCATAGCAAGTACCACCACAGTCGGTATACACTGCTGTTATCATAGCAGGTACCACCACAGTATGCATTGCTGCAGTGAAAGCAGCTACCACCACAGTCAGTACGCACTGCTGTTAGATTTTTAGGAGTAGTTTTGATATATTTTTAAGACCCGGGCATTGCCGGGTACTTTCCGCTAGTATATACTACTGCACAGTTATGCTGACAAATTTGAGTCCAAACCGTAACCTAGATTGCATCGGCTCGACAACATGTATGGTGGTTGTGCCACTAGTATTCTTTGCAATTTCTTGTGTACGCCACCACTAGAAAAAGAGCCAGCACAAGAGGAAGCTCTAGAGATCCCCTCTAAACGGTATTTTGGCCTACGCTGCCCAGATGTGTTGGATTAGGCGAAAGCACCTAGCTTCATCCTACTACATGCGAGCTGAATAACTGTGGTGCATTCATTGACACTTCTGGGTTGACAAGAGGCAGGGAGATTGTTTCAAATACATCCCATGGAGATCGAACTGCCAACCTCTGAATTCTAACCATTACACCACAGCATCATCCCTGACTAAATATAACAGAGGGCTCCTTATAAACAATTATTTTGTTTCAGTGGCTATTGGACATCATATACTTTGGTGCTATAAGTGATTACTTTGTTTTCGATGGATAATTGCTAATATGAATATCTGAACAATTCTGGAGGTCAAGTTCCAATACATTTTGAGTATATTAAATGGAATCTTCATTGAATTAAATTAACTTTCAAAACTATGATAAATTATAACTTTTCTTGTACATGACATAGCAATACAATTATACTTTTTCTGCATGTTATGAAACTTGTATGTTAACATTTAAGATTTGGGGTAAATGTAGTTTTCAAACCTTAGTCTTAACTAAATGATAACTCTTATCCAAATCTCTGTGGGGTCAATGAAAACTCCGATTGTTCATGGCTCTATTCTTCCTATTATCTGCGACAATTTCCATAAGTCTATGCGGAATGTTATCCTGTTATCCACAAAAAAAATCCATGGATAAGGAGATGCATGGCAAATACATCCGATTATCTGCAGGTTATCCACAAATCTTTTTATTTAAAAAACGCGTTGTTATAAAAGTGCATGGACAGCACTTTCTTGATCACACTGACAACACAGACATGAATACCCTCAGATAGAGACACACAGAGAGAAACAAGGAAACAGAGAAAGGCACACACACATTTCGATTTAAAGCTTTCGTGACTGCAGGGATTCATCTTCTTGGTTCTTTCGGTAAAGTCACGTAGAAGGGATGTAATAAAATAATAAAAAATATTATGTTTTATTTTTATTATTTTATTACTTCCCTTCTACGTGACTTTACCGAAATAACCAAGAAGATGCACATATTGAGACACACACAGATATACAAATACAAACATCCCCCGCATAGCCTTAACAGACTGTAGGGGTAAGTGCTGCTGTTAGCGAGCTCCTATGAAGGCCGCCACGGCACACGAGGGGGTGGGCGGCCAGCACCACGCCCGACCGCCTTTGTCTCCTCACTGGCGATGTTTACACACAACACCAGGTACTCGTTTGAGGCCGACTTGACCTAAGGGAGGCCAAGGACCGGATCAAATATTCGTCACTGGTGTTGGCCGTAAGCGGGAATCAAACTCGGGTCACCGGATTCGCAGCGCAGCGCGCTAACCGCTACACTACCGCTCCCCCCACAGATATACCGATACACATACAAATATATGAAGACACAGACAGGGAGACACAGAGACATGAAGAAACATGTAAATACATAGATACACAGGAGTTGTTTTGCAGGGAACACTACTCGTGGCCAGAAGAGCCATTTCCCCCTGAAGATTAGCCAATTAATAATATTAGATAGCACTAAATTCCTGAAATATTGTATAAATGCTAACATACCAATAATAATGGCTGTAAAGATGACTAGATGCATCGTATCACGAGGAGGCATGCAAGTATTTACAAATAAACCATAGAATATATTCCAGTTAACTGATCTAAAGTTTAAGCTAATACACAGATTAAATGGCATTGAGAAAACAAGTTTATGATTGGGTGATTGTCGCGTGATCACACAGTTATCAGAAGTTATGGACACTTTAAACAATGAGAACCCATGTGTGGACCATTACAATAAAAGTGTTTTAAAAACAACAGTTTTATTAACAACTTCGTTCAACTCACGGTCGAGAAGTACGTCAATTATGCGGTGCCTGTTCCCACATGAACGCTTACTTTAATTAATAGTTTACTTTATAAATGAATCTTCAATGTACAACTTTTGCTTGTGTGGAGTGGGGGTGCTCGTAACTCGCTGACACGGAGCGTCGCGCCTGAGACGACACGTGGCGCCTGAGACGACACGTGGCGCCTGCTTCTTGGGCGTGGCGATTCGAGAGTTTAGGGACCGTGGCGTTTTTTACCGACACATTTACAAAATGTAAATTGCTTTACAGTGGCGAATTAATTGATGAATTGATGCCGATTTTGATACAGGCATGCATTGTCACGGGATCTGAGTTCGTGTGCAAAATTTGGAATTGATTGTACAAAAGGAAGTAGAATAACTTTTCATTACAAGATTTGACCACGACAACCATAGGAGTCTAGTTAAGTAAAACCGTTGAAAAATCTAGATTGTTTACCAGAGCAAGATGCTCAGCAGAAACAATTGCAGAATGGGTGAAGGAAGAGTTTGGAAACCA